AAAAAAAAAAAAAAAAGATACTGGGAAATACAAAGAAAGAGGGCAAACAAGGGAAGAGGGAGGGGGAAAGGAAAGATGGGAGAAGAAAAATAGAAGGAACAAATGGACATAAAGCTTTTTTTTTTTTTTTTGCTCCGAATGCCTTCAAGGCATGACTGGCTGTCTTGCATTGTGGGGATTGAACCACAGCAACCTGAGCCTGACTGCTTTGTTGAAGCAGCCAGTTAAAAGAACTGAGCTAAGGGGCAGGCCCCCTAAAGCTTTTCTAAGTAAGGAGAGGAAGAAGATTTGAAGGCAGGGGAAGGAGATGGGAAAAAAGGTGCAAGATAAATCATGTACAGATATGAACTCTCTATTATGAATGTTATCATTATGTGTATCTAAAATGTACTAGTAATTTTTTTTTTAACTGCAAAGAATAAATAAGTAAACGGCTCCTGTTCCAGATGAAACTGTTCTGGGTTTGAGTTTCTGTCATCCACAGGCTCAGAAGGAACCACAGGGATGTTTGTTACAGAGGGGGACAAATCACACATCCTGGGTCCCAAGCTCTTACAAAAGTTTCATGGACAGACTTACCAATACCAGGGAGGCACTCATACCACAGAGCAATATCCCCAGTCAGACTTACCAATACCAAAATATTCTGCATTCCAAGTATATAAATATTTCCTTTTGAGCTGTCCAGAAAAAAAGCCTCTTTCTGAAACAAAAAGTTTCCAATTCAGTAAGGTCTACTCAAGAGGGTTCCACCAGTACCACCAAGATACTGAAATTAGAAATGAGCTACTGTTTGCCAGTTATGGGTGAACTAAGGAAAGATGGGGGAGGAAATCAAAGCCTGCTTTTGTCCTTCCAGTCAAATAACTCAGCTATCAAATTCCACAGTAGTGTCTTTGTGCTTCTTTATAACTTGTCTTTCACTGAAGATCTGCCGGTAGTTTTTGATCATTAATTCTAGAATCATCCTTCAGGTGACAAAACACTCCACACTTGAACAACTAGTTTTCACATAACAGTGTCAGTAAGGAGCACCCAGAGGAGTAGGGCAGACAAGACTGGCAGAGAGGTCAATGCGGCGCAGCAGGGCCAAGGTGTACTTACTGTACCTGAGGTGACTGTGAACTATCGCTAGAACATGCAGTGCCAGGTACAGAATGACGTCAACACTGTGGGAGACAAAAGCGTTCCCCTGACATTACGTCCAGCTTCCGCCCCACCCCCTTCTCTCTGCAAGGGCTCCAGCTCCAAAGGGGCAGCTGAGCCTCGCAAAGCAGGACAGACACGGACGGTTATTACGATTTAACACTTCATGTTCACAGAACATTTGGTTTACTCGCTCCTTTTACGAGGACCATCAAAGTCACTACTCATTTGTTTTGTAACCCAGTCTGGGGGACGCAGCTGAGAAGGCAGAATGCGAAGACTTAATTTGCAGCTCTGCCCCTGCTTCTGTGTGAACTGAAGAGAAAATCCCCTTTTTGGTGCCAAACTGTTTTTCAACCTGCAAAACCGAGATAACGATTCCTACTTTGCGTGAGACATTAAGAATTAATAACACAATCGACTTGTTAACAAAAAGCTATTATTTAGTTAAACTCAGTGTTTTAACAACTCTGTTATTTTTTAATCTAGGCCTGCATAATAAATTCTCCTGACAAATTTCGCACACAGAAGGACCAACCCAAATTTCCACAAGTCAGCTGTTCCTTCCCCGGGGCCTGCCCACTTCGGGTATTTTTTATGGGCGCTTTTCTTTACTCTTTAAAATGTTACAGGGCGCGAGCGGCGGCGGCGGCAAACAGGCTGCGTTCTCCACCCTCTGCACCTAGACGTGTTAAAACGCTGCTACAGGGACCCAAGCATTTAAATGTTCTGACTCAGGCGTCTTTTAAATTCTTAGAGCTGTCTTTACACGCTGCGCTGAACGTTAAATTGATTTTACAGGTATTTTCACAAGATGTGACCCCTACAGGGCCCGGGATGAATCAAAATGCAGAGCGGGCTCTCGGCGCCGACTTCCCTTCCGTCTGGGCGGCCAAGGATTCCCAAGGGCGAGGGCGGCCTCCACGGACGGCTCCGGCGGACAGCGCGGCCGCCACCGGGCCACCTCCCCCGCGGCGCGGCCCACAGCCCCCCCGCCACCAACCTGCGCACCCCGGGGCGGCGCTGAGCGGGCCGGGCTGGCGGAACCTGCTCTTCGGCAGCCCGCGGGCGTCCGGACTCCGGAACCTCTCAGTCGCACCCCGCGCAGAGCCTGGGGGAAGCCAAGTCCGGGAGGACCGCGCGGGAAGGCTGAGGCAGCGGCCGGTGCGCGGTGCACGAGGCGCCGTGGGAGGGGGCGGGGCGGAGGACGGGGCGGGGCGGGAGATCTAGGCCCCGCCCCTCCGGGCCCGCAGCCGGGGTCGCTAAAGTGCTGGAGCCCCGGAGTCCGACCCGGCTGCAAAGGGGTCTTCTCAAGGTTGGGTGCCTCTCTCCCACCTCACACACCTGGTTCAGGGCAAATGCTGAGAAATGATAATAGTTGCTTGCATTTATTGAGGGCCCACAGTGAGTCCGGCACGAGGCCAAACGTTTTGTTTCCCTTCCCTGGTTTCGCCTCCTCTGCTTTCCCCCTTTACCTCACATCCTTTGTCTCGGTGGTGCTAGGAATGAAACCCACAGTACCTACACGGAGCTACATCCGGGGCCCCTTTGTTTTTTGAGATGAAATTTTGCTAAATCGCGCCTAGACTCAAATTGTATTCCTCCTGCCTCAGCCTCCATGAGTGCTGGGATTACAAAAGTATGCCACCACACGTGGCAGCAGTGTCTTCATCTTAAAACTCAGTGTGCTCACTCTCTGCGAAGTGGATTGGCATCTAGTCAGAAAGTGCATTAGTTTTTTAAAGAACATATTTGAAGGCCAGGTGTGGTTGGCACATGCCTGTGATCCAGGCACTCTTGGGAGGCTGAGGCAGAAGGATTGTTGAGAGTTCGAGACCAGCCTGGGTTACAAAGTGATCTCAAAGCCAGCCTGAACTGCATAGTGAGAGCCCAATCTGAAAGACAAAAAATAAAATGGCATATTTGGCCAGGCACAGTGACAGGACCTGTAGTCCCAGCTGCTTGGTAGGCTGAAACAGGAGGATCATGACTCCAAGGCCAGTCCAGGAAAGATGGTGAGATTCCATCTCAAAAAGAAAAATGTTGGAGCTGGGGAGATAGTTCAGCGGCACAAGCACCTATCTGGCCTGAGTTCAAACCCTGGTACCAAAACCAAAAATGTTTGGCCAGGGGAGGTGGCACACACTTGTAATCCCAGCACTTGGGAGGCTGAGGCAGGAGGATCACTCTTAGTTCAAGGCCAGCCAGGGCTACATGAAGACATTGTCTGAAAAAAAAAAAGAAAGAAAAAGAAAGAAAGAAAGAAAGAAAGAAAGAAAGCCAAAAATATATACACAAATAAATAAATAAAATGGTGCTAAATGAACTGCAACAAAAGCTATCAAATCTCTTCCAGCAGAGAAGCTGAAAGCCTGGGTGCTGAGGAAGACTCAGGTTGAGGCAGGCCAGAAGATGGACAGTTGCAGCTTTTCCTCTAGTACAGGCTGAGAATTCTACTGGTGTGTAAGAGGATTGGTATGTTTTTTAAAAAGATTTTTGGTGCCAGGATTTCTTTTTCTTTTATTTTTGGTATGGGGATGATGTTCAGTGCAGAAATTCTGTAACCTCAGTCAGCTTGTCAGCTGCCAGCTTTCATGTTTAATACTAGAGTGCTGTCATTTTCTAGGGCTTTTAAAAATCATTTATGCTTCTTCAGTTCTGTAGCTCGGCATCATTAAGTATCAGGCTTAATGTGCCTAACACACGGCGCTTGGAATAGAATAGCAAGTGTGCTTGGTGACTCAGAGCTGATCAGAAACCTACTGAAATTTCATCTGGGGAGTTTGTCAAATTCTCAAATGTGAGACTACAAAGTTCCCGCTACACAGCTCCGAAGCCTGTGGGCATGAGAAGGTGAAGGAGTGGATGCCTGTCTTCAGGAGGAGGGTGGAGACATGGCAGTGGGAAGCCTTGAATCAGATCTACATTCGTGCACAACACTCTGCTCTCCGTGGGCCATGTGACCTTGGGCTTCAGGCTACCTTATCTGTCAAAAGGAGGAAATGACATATTTCTAGCTCCTCCAACCTCCCAGTGTTGATGTAATGATCAAATGAGATAATGGCTGAGAAAGTGTATTGGAAAGACCATAAAACTGTGGTATTTTAAGTTGACACTTACTGAATGCCATGGGCAAGATCGGAGATAAATATGATCCAGTTTCTATGCTGAATGAGTTAATGGTCTAGGCAGAAGACATATGAACATGGAAAACAAACATACAAAACAGCAAATAGGAGTCAAAACAGCAATTTAGAGGCTGAGGCAGGAGGATAGCTGAGAGTTCAAGGCCACCCTGGGATACACAGTGAGTGCAGGATTACCCTGAACTGCATACTGAAACTCCATCTCAAAAAAAAAAAAAAAAGACAAAACAACAATTTAGATATAGATCGTAGAAAAACTTGAGAGTACAGAATTATTTTTCTGCAGAAATAGTTATGGAAGACAGTGAAATAAACCTTATTTTCACTGGGCCTAAAAGGAAAGAAAAAGATTTGGATCATTTAGAAGAAACATCCCAGCAAATGGAAGCAGAGGCGGGAAATAGAATTGGAATTCTAGATCCAAGAGAAGAAAGGAGCGCTGAAGTGAGGGGTTTTCTGCGCAGCTGGATGTAGCTAAGACCAAAAGCTAAGCCTAGAGACCAACCTGGCAGCTGAAAATGAAGGCAAGTCCTAGAAAAAGGAATCTCAGGGCTGGCCAGATAGCTCAGCTGATGAAAGGGCCTACTTAGGCAGGCTCAGGAACATGGTTTGATCCCTGGTGTGCCGGCCCCACCTGTGGGGTGTGCTGAAGATGGTGATTGAGACTGGACATGGTGGCGCACACCTGGGCATGGTGGCATGCTTGGGAAGCTGAAAACAGGAGGATCACTATGAGTCTGATCTGTATAGTGAGACCCTGTACTAAATACATTTTTTTAAAAAACAATAATATAATAATAAAAAGGAATCTTACAATCAGACACCATTTGGTGTTCTTGAGCAGGAAAGAACTGCAAAAGAAGTCCTAGAATTCCCCCTCCTCACTGCTTCCTTTCCTGCCAATCTCCCTTCTTTTTTCCAGAATTCTATTGTTTTAAAGGCATCTTGGCATATGATATTTAAAGTGTATGTACAATTCAGTAAGTTTTGCTGTAACTATGTATCAGTGACCGACATCATAATGAAGATAGTGGACACGCGTGTGACCCTCTGTGAAGTCACACTCGTGCTTGTGCTCCTTCACAAACCCTCTCTAGCTTCTCCTGCATTGAGTCAGCTGTGATCTGCTTCCTGTCACCAGAGATCAGTGTGCATTTTTCTAGAG